ACTTGGTTAGGCATCACTTTACCAACGGAGGGCTTGCAATAGCCACAATGTTTGCTGTTATGATAGGTGGACTGTAAGTACTGAAAAATTACTTTGCCAGGCTTTATTGTCACGTTTTCTGGATCAAAGAAGTTAATCTGTTGTTTTAAATTGATAGAGCATTGGGACAATCTGCACCTAGCATGGCTGCATTTGCAAAGGCCAGAGTTGCTGCTGCTAAGATTTTCCGAATAATCGATCAGAAGCCGAGTGTTGACAGAAACAACGATCGGGGTTTGGAGTTGGAATCTGTTACAGGCCAGGTGGAGCTAAAAAATGTCGATTTCTGCTATCCTTCAAGGCCTGACGTTCAGATACTCAATGGTTTCTCCCTCACTGTTCCGGCCGGAAAGACCATAGCATTGGTGGGAAGCAGTGGCTCTGGCAAAAGTACTGTGGTCTCTCTCATTGAGAGATTTTATGATCCCAATTCCGGTAAGATTACTAAAATGCAGCAACCTCTTTACGGGGCCTGGCCTAATATGCTTCTGTGCTTTATGTTTGTCATTTACTGCTCCTCCACCGAGTTGTGTGGCTAAGGAATTGTTGTATTCTTGATCTAGCCAAGTGTCAGCTAAAGTGATTTTTGCATCAGAGGTCATGTCGTCCTTGTCTCTCCTCTCAGTAATAAATAATAATAGTGTAATGTCTGGGAATGAAAATCTCTGTTAGTGAATAGTGGTGTTGTTGTGCAGGACAAGTTCTTCTAGATGGGCATGACATAAAGACATTAAAGCTTAGATGGTTGAGGCAGCAGATCGGACTGGTGAGTCAGGAGCCTGCACTGTTTGCCACTTCCATCAAAGAAAACATACTGTTGGGTAGGCCTGAGGCTAGTGTGGTTGAGATTGAAGAAGCTGCCAGAGTTGCCAATGCGCATTCATTCGTCGTGAAGCTTCCTGACGGCTATGATACTCAGGTTAGTTTCAATATCCTCCGATTGTGATTTGTGAAGCAGCAGATCTTTATTATTATTATAATTATATAATTTTTCAAACTTTCAATCCTATTGTGATGACATTAGGGATGATCGAGTAGGGGTTTAGCAGGATTCATTAGCATTAATTATGTTTTAATTGAGTCATTATGGGAGCTACGTAATTGATGACCCCCAAAACGCATGCCTAAGAAAAATGCAATTGGATCTAAACCAGCGTAGTGCGATGGACAAAAAGCTATTGGAGCTCTTTATCAATGTGATGATAGATACTAGATAGGTCGGATGTACATTGGTCCACCGCCAGTACCTCGTGGACCAGCCGTGACAGAAGGTGCCAAAAATTTGCCCCGTGCCTCTCTCCGCGGTCGGAATTCCCATTTCAAGGCGCAAAGCAACGGCTCCTTAATAGTAAAGAGTTCGGAGAGTATTATTAAATGTAACTTCAGGCTGCGGGTTAGGATGTCAATTTGTGTCCTTTCCTATGGCTGGCTAAAGGATCAACATAATTTAGACGGTGGGCTGCATGGGTTTTGGTACTCATGTCTGCGCCAACAACGGAGGAGGTGAATCGTGGATTTGACCGTAATGGATCGAGGGCCCGTATTCAACTGCTTTATAATACCAGCCTGACGGACTTAACTTATTTGGTCAACAAACCCACCGACCTAACTTCCATTAAAAAGTCAAAATCAGTGTGGGTGATTGGTCCTGGCAATTTAAAAATTGTAACATGGGTTTGGTCAAACATTGCATGTGCATGTGTAAATTGAGTGTTCTTTATTCATGGCAAAACGGAGACTTCTAGTTTCGGAACCTTTTATACTTTTCGAAAGAGGGATTATTGCATTATCGTAAGAACTGTAGGAAATGAGAGGTGCGCCAAAAGTTTGTTTTGCTTATAAGCAATATTCCCACCAAAATTTCACTCGACCCTCTTAAGCTAAATGTAAATGGGCCAAATTGGATACGTTGGTTTTTTTTTTTTTTTTTTTGTGAATAATGAAGTAAAATTTATTTCTTAATTTTTATTTTAACATTAAATATACTTAAGGTTTCATATGTCTAATTATGAAACATTAATTACCTCATGGTTATCCATTCCACAAGAAACAATAGACAGAATGCCCTTTCCTGATTCTTTTTATTAAGATTTTTTCATGTTGCTTGATATGCATCTTCACCTAATGAAAATATTCACAACTCTATTAGAGAAATTATTGGCACTACTCAAAATGGATCATCTGAAAATGCTGTATTGCTTCAAAATGTCAGGTAGGGGAGAGGGGATTGCAACTATCAGGAGGACAGAAGCAGAGAATTGCTATAGCAAGGGCAATGCTTAAGAATCCGGCAATTTTGCTTTTGGATGAGGCAACCAGTGCTCTGGATTCCGAATCTGAAAAGCTGGTTCAAGAGGCACTAGATAGATTCATGATTGGAAGGACAACACTTGTAATTGCTCATCGCCTCTCCACCATCCGCAAAGCTGATCTTGTCGTCGTGCTTCAGCAAGGCAGTGTGTCCGAAATCGGAACACATGATGAGCTCATTTCTAAGGGAGAAAATGGTGTCTACGCCAAGCTCATCAGAATGCAGGAAGCGGCTCATGAAGCAGCTATCAACAGTGCAAGAAAAAGTAGTGCAAGGTAATCTTTGCCCTGCTTAGTCTCTGTCAAAATTTCAAGAAAATGCACTCCTGAACTTAATGTGCCTGCATGAAATGAAGCAAACAGGCAGATAAAATGTATTTGACTTGCTTCTATTGCAGGCCATCTAGTGCAAGAAACTCTGTGAGCTCACCGATTATAGCCAGAAACTCCTCTTATGGACGATCCCCATACTCGCGCCGGCTATCAGACTTCTCTACTTCTGACTTTAGCCTCTCCCTTGATGCTTCTTATCCCAATTATCGTCTTGAAAAGCTACCATTTAAAGAGCAAGCAAGTTCCTTCTGGCGTCTCGCAAAGATGAATTCTCCCGAGTGGCCTTATGCTCTAGTTGGTTCAATCGGCTCTGTAATTTGTGGATCTCTTAGTGCATTCTTTGCGTATGTCTTGAGTGCAGTTCTAAGTGTCTACTACAATCCAAACCATGCTCTCATGATCAGAGAAATTGCAAAATACTGCTATCTTTTAATTGGTCTCTCATCTGCTGCACTTATCTTCAACACGCTGCAGCATTTCTTCTGGGATGTTGTGGGGGAGAACTTAACAAAGCGAGTTAGAGAAAAAATGCTGGCTGCTGTTCTGAAAAATGAAATGGCTTGGTTCGACCAAGAAGAGAATGAAAGTTCTAGAGTTGCAGCGAGGTTGGCTTTAGATGCCAACAATGTTAGGTCAGCCATTGGAGACAGGATTTCAGTGATCATGCAAAACTCAGCTCTTATGCTCGTTGCTTGTACTGCTGGATTCGTATTGCAATGGCGCCTGGCCCTAGTTCTCGTTGCTGTCTTTCCTGTGGTTGTTGCAGCGACAGTATTGCAGGTTTGTCCACGGCAACTAAATCTAGGAAATATGGTTAACGAGATATCGTTAGGAGGCTTGCTTTACTACATCATCTTTTTCTTGTGCTCGAGTCACTTGTTTTGACTGTTTTTTGTGGCACTTTGACAGAAAATGTTCATGAAAGGATTCTCAGGGGACCTAGAAGCAGCACATGCCAAAGGTACACAACTAGCTGGGGAAGCTGTGGCTAATCTAAGAACCGTTGCTGCCTTCAATTCTGAGTCGAAAATTGTGAGCCTCTTTACCTCCAACCTTGAAACTCCACTGAAGCGCTGCTTCTGGAAGGGACAAATTGCTGGAAGCGGATATGGGATTGCTCAGTTCTCGCTCTATGCTTCCTATGCCCTTGGTCTTTGGTATGCCTCCTGGCTTGTCAAGCACGGGATCTCCGACTTCTCAAAGACCATCCGTGTATTCATGGTCCTCATGGTCTCAGCCAATGGCGCCGCTGAAACTCTAACTCTAGCCCCTGACTTCATCAAAGGTGGTCGAGCAATGCGTTCAGTGTTTGATCTCCTAGATCGGAAAACAGAAATTGAGCCTGATGATCCTGAAGCTACCCTAGTACCTGACAGACTTCGTGGGGAAGTAGAATTCAAGCATGTGGATTTCTCTTATCCTTCTAGGCCAGATATAGCAATCTTCCGTGATTTAAATCTCCGAGCTCGAGCTGGCAAGACTCTTGCTCTTGTAGGGCCAAGTGGTTGTGGAAAGAGCTCTGTCATTGCTCTTACAGAACGATTCTATGAGCCGTCTTCTGGGCGTATTATGATCGACGGAAAAGACATACGCAAGTATAATCTCAAGTCATTTAGACGCCACATTGCATTGGTGCCACAAGAACCATGTCTCTTTGCCACCACCATATATGAAAATATTGCGTATGGACACGAGTCAGCAACTGAAGCTGAGATAACTGAAGCAGCAACATTGGCAAATGCACACAAGTTCATAGCATCGTTGCCCGACGGCGATAAAACGTTTGTGGGAGAGAGGGGAGTTCAATTGTCAGGAGGACAAAAACAGAGGATTGCCATTGCTCGAGCATTTTTGAGGAAGGCAGACATAATGCTGCTGGATGAAGCCACAAGCGCTCTAGATGCAGAATCAGAAAGGTGCGTGCAAGAAGCCCTGGAGCGTGTTTGCTCTGGAAAAACCACAATTGTAGTGGCACACAGACTATCAACGATCAGAAATGCGCATGTCATTGCCGTCGTAGACGATGGGAAGGTAGCGGAACAAGGTTCTCATTCCCATCTGCAGAAGAACTACCCTGAGGGGATTTACGCCCGTATGATTCATTTACAAAGATTTTCGCACGGACAAGCAATTAACATTGCATCTGGCTCAAGTTCCTCTGCACGTCATAAGGAAGACCAAGATGGACAATGAGGGAAAAGGCTTTGACCCCTAGAAAGTCCATTAAAAAGAAATTACAGGAAAAGGAAAATAGAGAAAGGAAAAGAAAATGGCACTGGAAACAAGAAAGGAATTACTCCTCATACCCACCGTGGTGATTTTTTTTGGGTTTTTGTCCAGTTTTTGTTTCTGTTTTGGTATAGGCCATAGCATGTGTATCTCCTTATTCTAGCCTTATATATAGTGGTATAATCTAGATATTGGTCCGTGAGGTAATTTCTCCCTGTTATCTTCCCAATGTTCTACGGCGTGTCTTTTAACTTGGAACGCTAAAACAAGGAGGCAACCGGAACATTAATTAGAAAAGGGTAAGGGTGATAACAACAGCACTCGTCAGTTTGATATTGTGTAAAAGATGAGTAAATAAATTGATTTTCCATTCAATAAACATCATCATGACTTGATTTGAGGAGGGAAGTTTTTTTTTTTTTTTTTCTGGTTTTTTTCGCATTTAAATGATGAGGGACAAAAGGAAAAGGACATGAAAGCAACATCTTGATTAAGCGTGTGTTAGAATTCCATCACTTTCTGCTTTTTCACGCGGTTTGCGGAGGAGTGAGTGGCATTTGGTTAAGCAAAAGAAGAGGCTGTAGCGTACACTGAGCAGTACATCCCCGGACCATTTGTTCTGGATTTCCGACAAGATATTACATCGCAATCCTACGTAATTGACCGAAGAGTGACCAGTTTCCAGTCCGTGGGATGGATGGGTAATGGTGCTCTCGTCTTCATGTTCACGTTCCATCCCTCCGACAACGTATCTTTCTTGAAACCGAATTATTGACAAAGAGTTCACGTGGCGTTGCACATGCGATTGAGAGCGAGCCTTCTTCTGTCCAAACAATACATATATATATATATATATATATATATATATCTCTATATGCATGTGTGTGTGTGTGTGTATACATGTATGTAGCAACGCCTCCCCCATGCAGCTGTTGCTATCATTTAAAATCTTAAAACAAGAAATAAATAAACTGAAAATGAACAAACCTAGAAAACCATCCTCCTCCCAACCCCATAATATTGATCTGATATACGGTGCATGATGAGCGTATAGGGCTATGGTGGCTGTACATGAACAGTTGGTGGTTGCGGCAGCGTACCTTCTAAATACACGAGGATTTGGTGGTGGTTGTGGCAGCGTACCTTCTCTTCAGTTGGTGGTGGTTGTGGTTGCATTATTTCATTGTTTTTGTTTCTTTTTCTCGCACGGAGGATGGGAACTGATCAACGAAATATACTATGGAGGCCAGTTTGAGCAGTGGCCTCGATATTGTCTGGGTTCGGGAGGGGCTCCAGATGGAGGCCGCGTCCTGCTCCGGAATGCTACGAGACACCCGCATATAAACACATCAACCCCACGGATTTGTGATGATTTAACCCGTGCATGGGTATTCAAGTCGGAAATTCAAAACTGACGAGACAAAATAGACAGGTTTTAACAACTGACAAGGAATGCTCGAAAACGTCCAGACGAAGACAGGTCTTTCATCTTCACTTCTTGCTGGCACAGTATCATAGTAAACAAAGGAAAGTCATTTTGAGTACGTTCTTAGTTAACAGGCTGTGCTGTTTGCACTTTGCACTTTGCAACCCCTCCCGCCTCCCTTCCCCCGGGGCGGATGTCTTTAATTTTACAAAATGCAGATTTTGTTTCAATTCCATTTGACAAGATCTGGAAACCGATGGATGTTTGGTGGCGTCGTAAATCATGCCAAGATCTGAAAAGGAATATGATGCAAACATCCGCCATGATTTCTGAAATCACTGTAAAGACCTGCAAAATTTTTCTGTGGTTTTTACAAACTTGAATCACAGGAACAGATGCAGTCAACAACATAGAAGAAACTCTCTGTATCTCTGCAATTTGAACTTTTTGTGCGAGTTCTTTTTTGTCAAACTGCGAGTTCAAAACGCCTTTTATTTACAAATTCGAAACAAGCCATACCATATGGTTGGCCAGCGCGCGGACCAACAGATGCTAAGCTTGAGCACCACGGAACCATCTAACGCCTTTTCTAAAGCGAAGATAACAACGGTTTATAAGTGGTAAGTTCTCATAAATAGATTTCGTGCAAAATTTAATTTCGACTAGTCCCCTTTGGCTCAGAAATTGATATCAAGACACAAGATTCTGTATGATCTCATGCTTGCAAGCTGGCCCACGACGGTTTCCACTCATCTATACTCCAAACTACTACTTATTTGTTTTCTCCGGCTCCTTTTATTAGCTTGTATAACTGGGAATATCTGGACAGATGTCCTTTATCCACGAGAAAGCACAAAACATTTAAGAAAAAATGCTAAGCACAAGGACGAGATTAAATGAGCATTACTTACCAATGTTCATAAAAATATTTGAGGGTGGTAAATGAACTAACTGCACTAAATAACAGCATATAAAATCGGGGAAAAAAAAAGTGTAAGCAAATCGATTTACAACCAGCTCAATTGATGTAAGAGAGAAGGGATACGCTTCAGGATCCAGCCTGAACCAACTTCGACCACAATGATACATTCAAACTTTGTTTCCAGCAGTGAAGACTACCCATTAGTCTAATTAACACACGTAAAGCACCAATGAAGGGGAATAGCTCAAGTTGACAAAAGCTTTGGACCATTATCTGGCATGCCCATTCCAGCAGCTAGGTCAGCATCAAGTTGTGTATGTGGCGCAGGTCCCATCATCAGCTTCATACTGCATAAACAAAGGTGTCAATTTTGAGCTTCTATTACCACCACCAGAATGTCCATAAGTTCAAGCTCTATTCAGCAATATAGCTGATGACTTTTGAACTTAGCCTGCCATTTTGAATGCATTGCAAGAGACTACAAAGCCTTGAAGAACTTAAAAGCAAACAAGAAAACCTACTAAAATCTGGTTAGGTATGTAAAATGGAACGAGTAACATGAGAAAGATGCTGAATCAAGAAAGCAAAAAATGCACGAGAAAGTACATGGAACTAGACGACGAGGCAGAGACTGCAGGGGATGCTTGCCAAGCAGTTAAAATACAGGGCAAACATCTAACATCATCTTGTAGTAATAGTGCAGAAAAATATAACAGAAACTTCCAAAATTAATACTGCACAATAGCTGCTGTTATCATAATCTTAAGGGATAAAGGCTAGATTTACAGCACTAAGCACAGCTTTCTTGAGGCCATTTTGTTCATTAAACCCACAAATTGCAACACGCGAGGAGACAATCTAATTACGGTGCTGAGGCATACATTTTGTCCAACAATATATGTGTCATTTTCTCAACCAAAAAAAAAGTGAGGGCGTAAAAAACAATTAGTGATGAGCTTTGATAACCATTCAATCACCCATTACCCCATCTTGTTTGGTATAGGCTAAACTGTCAGTCCAAAGAAGAACAGGGATGCACTCACTCCAGATCAAGTCACAGCAAATTCCACTTTTCAGACCAATAGATCAACCCTTTCACAAAATGGTGAAAACTGGACTATTCTCCAATATCTCCTTTCCAGAGAACCTTCCATACTCTTACTCAAAGATTACTTCCACTCAAACTGCCTAGCGTGCATTTAAGAACATTACAACTTCTAAAGGACCAAATTAAACAAGTTGCTGATAACCAAGAAGACTCAAATGCCCCTGCACTTGACTTAGCTAGGTTCTGTCAGCAATGCAATATCTATGTATCATTGCTTACTCTAACTAGGGTTATGATAGGAGTCCACTATGAAATACTTGTTTGGAGCCTATGGCTCAAAATTGCATTGGAATTCTTTTAAACACCCCCTGCAGTATAGATTGCCTTCAAGTTCATGGAACAATTTTATTAGATGGGCTGTCAAAATAGTAGCTCGCAGATACTCATTACATGAAATATTGCCTTTTCCGACTCATGGTTGGTTCAAAAAACAAGAGCATTGCAGCTAACAAGCTTGTTATCCTGGGGCTTCACAAGTAGGCAAGCCAAGGGAATGGGGAGAAAACAACTTCAAGGACAAACTTTTGGCTAGGTGAATTTGAAAAAATTGCATTTGAAGAATAAGTAGGGAAAAGCTCAGCCAATTTTCTATTTATGAAAAATCAGATAAAAGAAAATAATAAGTGAAATTTCAAACTCCGTCTATTATTCAACAGCCTCAAAGCACGTCTCCAAGGTGACAAACCTTTGTGCCAGAACCTCAACAACTAAGTTAAATGTATGAACTGTGCTCTCGAAAGACCTTATTCTACCCCACTATTGTCCAAACTAAGGCTATTTCTAAAACTAACACCTCCGATTCCTTATTTCAGCAGTTTAGCACCAATGCTAATAACACTTGAGCACATATTCCTGCGAAAGATAAATACCAAGGCCATGTAATTGATCAAATGAACGAGGCAATTCAAGTAGAGAAATTACCGTTTCTTGTGTCGTTTGGTCTTGAAATGCTCATCCCTAACCGCTACATTCGCGAAATACCGACTAGAATGATAAACCCGACAAAATCAATTCCATGAAGGTCTTCATCGACTAGAATGATAAACAAAAATTGAAACAAAAGAATTTCGGAAAATAAAAAAGAAAATGATTACTCGCAGTGCAGGCAGTAATATTGGCCCATTCCAGGAAGGTCTTCGTCGACGGGCAAGGATTTGTTCTCGCCCACCATACAATGAAGCTCCTCGTAAACCGCATCATCACGTGGAAAAAGAAAACCCTAGTCAAGGAAGTAAATTTCTGACATTGAAGTGCAAGAATAATTCAGCTCAAATTAGAGAATCCAAAACGAAAAAAAAAGTTAAAAAAAAGGATATCTTTGACGAGAAATTTAGTGCGGCGAGCTGTTTTGTGAGAGTAGCGTCGCTTCTTGACGCTTCTATGAGGACACTTGCCTCCCATTTTTACTTTAGAATGCGAAAGCGAAATTAGGGTTCTTCGATCCGCAGGACGCTACAAAACCCTTTGCCGCAGAGAAAGAGGGTTCTATTTTGTCCAACTTGTCCCAGGGTGCCTTTATACGACAACGTTTATGAGGCGGCATGACTCGTCTGGGCCTAGCCTCTCAGGACAATTTCTACTGTATCCGTATTTTAGCTCCATCGCTGCGTTATTGAAGTGGACTTTGGCCCGGTAATTTATTGTAAAGTATTTTTTTAATAAAGTTTTGAATAAAAATATATTTAAATGTTTTTAAATATATTATTTGAATAACGTGTGACTTGAATATTTTTTAAATGTATTTTTTAATTAAATTTATAATATATGATAAAATAATTAAATTTATATTTTATTTTTTAAATCATGAAAATTATTCCAAAATTATCAATTTGAGTTTTTATTAAAAGTATTTCTAACACTCAAATCACCATTTTTAATTTTATAGAATTAATATTCACGGGATTCCTTAAAAGTAAAATATATTTTTTATCAAAAGCACCGTAATCTTAAAATAAACCTATATATTTTACCTCCAAAACACAGTAAAAAAAAAAAAACAGAGAAAACGAGTGGACTGTATTTAACTTTTCAGGCCGTACCGGGCCCGTGAGTGGTATAATATTAAAATAAGGTTTTATTACAGCAGCAGTCAAAATGCAGTTGCTGACATATAAACATGACTTTTTTGTCTGCATGAACTCAAAAATAAATAATTTTTTATTGTGTTACGGAAAAAATATGAGTAAATATTATATATACTGACAGTGCGTACGTTATCACCGTTGGATCGATGATACATATGCAAAAATTGAATTAAAATTCAATTTTACATAGTTATCAATTATCCAATGCTGACACTGTGAGTGTAGGAAATATTAATCAAAAAATATATGATACTAGTAAATATCTTTGTCGAAAAAAATTGATTTTTTACTTATATCTCGCACCTAAACATGACAAATACGTTGTAATCGTCCTAGAAGGAAAGGATAAAAATGGCAGTACCTGCCTTCGATGATAAAAAAAACCGGGCTACTTCAATTGAGAAATTTGCAGTTTGCCAAGCTCTTCTTTTTTTGTTTTCCTTTCCACAATTATATGTCGGTTGCGGCAAAAGTAAACTAGTCAGGAAATCTTGGAGTGCTCCCAAAAGGGCTAAAAACTATTTGATGCTGTAAATTATGGTTAGGACATTTTTTCAAGCAGCTGCACTTTTGCACTCAAGCAATAACATAACCATTTCTTTAATCACGTTCCCTTCTAACTTTTAGAAAATCAATTCAACGTGAAGAAAACAAGATGATACACGGTGCTTTACAAAACGTTTGATTCACTTTGCCTGACCAAAAGAAGAAGAAGAAGAAAAAAAAATCACTACTACGAGTCCTGCAGTTACAGTGGTTATGAATTCTCATATCCTCTCACTACTAATCCAACTCAAAACAAACACATAAACAAGAGGTCTTTTCTTTTTTGAAGAAGAAAAAAACATGAATGTAAACCTACGTACGAGCAAATTAAAGCAAACACTCCAGATGAACAAAACCCCAGAATAATCAAGATGTCGTTTTGTCTGCATCAGCATCTGCACCTCAGCTGCTCTACCTTCCAATTCTACTTCTTTTTTTTTTTTTTTCCTAAAATTGTTTTTCTTTTCAAGAAAAGGAAAAAAGAGGCTGTGGAATGGAATCGGACAAGTAATATTGCATGCGAGAGAGCATGGCGCAGTGAAGAGACATCAAGTGCCAGGGTACGTAGCGATCCAGGTGCAGGTGCAAATGCAGAAAAACAATGAACACCTTGGCTTGGAGACGAAGAAGACTAGTAAAAAGGAAAGCTTGACCACGAAATAAACTGATGTCGATCCCCAACAATAATTTGTTCAGGAGTAAGCTGAAAAATGCACTTGCACTCTATAATAATGGAAGTCTAAAATGGGTAAGAAAGACGCTGCTCGCTTAGCTCAGTCAGTCCCTCCCTCAAAATTTATAACCCATGAATGAACCAATGAATGAAAGAACAAAATCCCAAGTCAAGAGCCAAATTAATTTGTGGCTTCCGAACTTGATGGTGATCTGATCCCTGTGGAAGGCCGGAAAGCAGCTCTAATGAGCAGCCACGTGATGAATGAGTCTGAAGCACGTGGGGAATATCGTCCCCTGCCTATCGTAGCCTGACATCTAATACCCTTACAAATGGATTCCCACATGAGCTGAGCTGAGCTGAGCGGAGCAGCCCGTGGGAAGCGAATCACATCAAACCATCTTTACCGTAAAAAGGCTGTAGCAAATAGTAATCTCTTATTCTGCTGCTGTGTTTTTGTTACCCCTGAAAAATGGCCAATGTCAAACGATCTTTTGCCACTTTTAAGCTGCTGCTATTAGGCATGCATGCGGTCCTACGTCACCACTGAGGCACTGATACATATTAATTAAGGTCAAAAGAAAGAAAAGGAACGCATAGGAATGACCTGAAAAACAAGACGTATCAAGAAAAATACTCTAAACAGTAGATTCTCTCCCATATTAACCTTTTTTTTTTGGTTTATTGAAAATCATAAGGTCAAGTTAAGAATCCTCTAGATCCGGTTACATCATGACGAAATCGAAAATCAAATCATCTTCTTGCTTTCACTTAGAAATCGACCCCCATGTCGATGACACACCCAATACCAACCGCCCATTTTTCTTCCCAACCAGAGTTTCTTGTCTGCATGCCTAATTGATCCTGAATTTGATGCATTTTACCTCAAATTTCTTCTTCTCAACAAACTTCTTGGAAGACCCCATTCACTACAACGTAATCCACAGCAACTGGCGACTTCATGCTTCAAATTGAAATACGTTTGGGATTTGGCATCCAAGTGTCAACCTTTCTACGGGTTGACCATCCTAGAAATCTGCCCCCACCCCACGCACTGGACTTAACCTCACTTTTTGCAAATTCTTGTTCTGGTTTGACGTGGCCTGTATATTCTTATTGGGCTTTCACAGCTTGGCCCATTGCAGAGTTCGCGTCCCAAATCTTATGGATGGGCTATTGGAAGAAAACAAAAGTCCTCAGAAAATACATGATACCGCTTGTCAAGCATATGCAGGTAACAAGTCTTGAATGCGCGGGGTCCCAAATCCTCAAATAGATTTTCACCACCAAACATGAAAAAGAAAAGCATACCCTGACCCTACAACCGCCATAAAACCGACATCATTTCTAGCTGACATACAGGAGTCAAGCAGACTCATCAGGCATTCTCAACTCTCAAGTGGCCAGGTCCGGTTTTATTTGCAACATAACATTGATCAGAAACGCGTACAGAAAAACAGAGCGATTACTGAGTACAGTATCTTTCTACCCCCTACCATCAATCACCTATCTCGGCTAGGAGTTAAAGAAGATGGCAACCGAAGCACCAAACAGTAGGCTTTGATCAAGGATGCACACTATTGAAGCTCATTGGCGTGCATTGTTACCTATCCAGACCCAATCTGAAGTTCATTTAGGAATTTGCTTGGAGTGGTCATGCTGCATTGCTGTGGTTAGTTTTACCAAGAAAATCCAAATAATGCATCAAACGGCAGCAAAGTATTCAACTACTTATAAAAATGACAAGAGGAAACTGTGAAAGGAAGAAAAACAATCTCTACTGTCGTGGCAAATCTAAGGGGTAAATGATTAGCTAAATAATTTCAGATGACCATATTGCAGAAAGACACCTTTACTGGAATTAACACATTGTACGACATAAAAGGCAAAAAGAATTTAGAGGATATCAGATTTCTTTATTGCTGCTCAACTCAAACTTACAGGAAACAAGCGAGCTTAGTTCTTTGTAGGTTAACAATTACCAACTGAAAACCTACTTGGTCTCCAAGAACATCAGCAGAATCCTCCAGACAGAATTTCTTGAAAGCAATTGGAAAGCCAAGCAAATAGAGAAATCCTCGAGACCCAATCAGCATCATTGCAGTTACATCATTAGCATCTGGCAATGCAAGTTCTTGATTCTCATAGAGGAGATCATTTGGAAATAATAAGATTCATTCATTGGTAGAAGAGACTTGGCCATTCTGAAAGTCTAGAAGGACCTGGGAATACACGCTAACTAAACAATCTCACAGCTGAATGAATTACAGACAAGCATTACACTAGATAAATATTTTGGTTTAGTATCAAAACAGTTAACCTATGATTGAACCATTGATAATTGATGGAGGCATTAAAATCTTAAGTAGTCATTTCACTATTATTTCTAAGGGAAGTCAGCATCTTTATACCTCAAATTCTTGGTTCACATACAGAAGACTGGTTTCTGAATAAGCACCGTCTACCCGTTATCAACAAAAAACCAACCATATAGCTAAATGAATTTCATAAATTGCAACATAAGTCATTATCATTAAATTCATAATCAATCAGATCAAAATAGGCCCACCAAATTAAATCATTTATAATCCTCTGAATGTTAAAAAAGGAATGGACAAGAACTTTCCCCTAAACCAAAAGTAGGGTAAGACAACCTGTAGACCGCTCAAATAAATATACATGTGTACGTGGAGTGAGTCCCAGGGGTACACATTATTAAAGCTGTAGAACTTTTTGAGGCATTTGTGTTTTGCAGATATTATTTATACATAAAAAGATTATGCAACTGTTACTTTCCATTTTCCATAATCAAGCTTAGTTCACACAGTTAATGGTCATAATTTCTCCAGTTAAATCACCGTTTCTAAAGATACTGTCCATGGTCTATATGTATGCTCGTGTGTAATAATTTTTTTTTTATATAAATAACTTAATTTTGCATGTTTTTCACTTATTTATTTAGTTTGTTATGTTATATTTTGAAGAAGTTATCGAGAGCTCTATAAGATGTTTACCGTCTTGTAATCATAAGGCAATTATAACAAGTTCCCACGCAAATCAAGAATTATGGAAGTTTAATTAGGGACATGTTTAAAGATGTTTGGAACAGACGTCCAAGAGCTTCAAAACATTATCTGCCTGATCAATGTCCAAGTTGAACACAGGCATCTTGAGAGTTTTTCAGCTTCATGGCCAAGTCTTCCAAAGCATTAATAGCAAAAACTAAATCACACAAGTGCAGCCAAGCCTACCACCTAATTTTCTGTAAATCACAATTATTAGCAATAAATCAAACCTTGCACATTTGACACTTTAGATGAGGCTGCAAAGATACAACATCAAGTTTGCATTCATGCAAAAATGTAGCTTTTCCATGTTTACATGATTCCAAAAAAGCTTATGCCCATTCTCAAGATCATGATGTGTGTGCCTATGTTTATCCAGCTTTACCAGAGTAAACCATGGTTACGCCAACTGTCTCCATTTACAACTTTTAATGGTAAAAAAATTTAAGGAAACAAAGCCTTGCTTTGGAAAATCTCTAACAGATAAGTGCCATCAGAGTAGATTCAAATTAACAGAACAATATTGCCAAATTAAACCACTCATTCTTAAGGTGAGACATTTCAAACAGAAAAGTAGTAAATGCCATGAGAAGGAAAGAAGCACAGTGTTCTTATACTGTGCCTAATGTGTGTCATGAAGAAGCTACAACTGATTGACAACTTCCTAGAGTGAGTGTAAGTTTAAGACCTTCCAAGAGTGACTATAAGATTAAGCACTCCCAAAAATGAATATTTAAGAACTTCCAAGACTGAACATCAGATTAACAACTTCCACACCCTCTCTTACAAAAATCAAAGAAAAGAAATTTAAGAGCCCCTCTTTACTAATGTTGTTGCCCCAATCAAAGTTTAGCATCATAAACTTTTCCAATCAATTTTGAAACGGCATGGACCCAATTAACTCTGTTAAAAAGTTATAGGAAAATTGTGCAAACTTCATACTTGCAAATAATGTGTAAACTTATAAAGTTAAAAATCTAAAAGCTAGATTGACTAAAGTATCCAGGGAAATAAAACAGAAAATGTAGCAACTCAACCCAAATTTGCAGAAACCATCAGTGGGTAAAAGTAAAATTGAAGTAAACCACAAGTCTTGTTGAAAAACTTAGAAGGGAAACATTAATACCTCATCTCAATTATTTGGCTTTAAACTCTCCAACTGCAATGTCGGCAGGAAAAGCCAGAATTCCAGCTAGCAAGTATATACGTTGCAGCACCTCCACCTGCATGTACACCGTGTGTCTACTATCCCAGTGAAGAATTTTGTTTTTATGGATTACTTATAAGGATAACATTCTTCCACCGAAGTCGCATCCATGTCCTCATCTTCACCTCCTCTTGGCCTTATTGCTATTTAAAGCAAACACTTGGATGAATAAACAAATTGCAGATGCAGATGAACTCTCTGTGTCTGCTCATTGCCCTCAGCTCCTAAGGGCTCTATCATTTTGGCTTCAAGTTCAAGTTCTTCTTCACCTTCAAAAAAGCATTTCGTTGCTTCACTTCCACAATCATAGCCTGATAAAATGAGAAACTCAGTTTTTCTAGAGCCCGAGCCAGAGGTAAATTTATATGATGATACTGGCAGAAGTCTCAGCCAAGCATGGGACCGTATACGAGTTCCTATAATTGTGCCAATTCTGCGGTTTGCTTTATATGTATGCATAGCAATGTCTGTTATGCTTTTCATTGAACGGGTGTACATGGCGATTGTGATTGGATGTGTCAAGTGCTTGGGAAGGAAACGATATACCAAGTATAATCTTGATGCCATAAAAGAAGACCTAGAGCAAAACAGAAACTATCCTATGGTGCTGGTCCAAATACCCATGTTTAACGAAAAAGAGGTACAATGTGCTTTTTCTGTTTTTTTATTTTTGGAACAATTGAACCATCTAGATGGTTTAAATATGCATAACTCTCTTTAGGATGATATAAATGCCAGTAGTACTGGGAAAACCATTTGCATTAATTACACCTTAATCTTAAAACCGAAATGTTTCAGACAAATTAGTAAAATATGTATTAAGTTCCCAACTTGCCCATGGTCTTTACTTGAATCAACACTACAGTAAAGGTCCATCTTGTGCACAAACATATATGCATGTATGCATAGAACACACTGAAAATACAATCAGTAACATTTCTAATCAGGATGGCATCCTTGAAGGTTTGAATGGCTTTTTCAGCTGTGCATCAAAACATCTTCCAGTTCACCCCAACACACAAGCAGTGTAAACTGGAAATAAAGTCATATAATAACAATTAAAGACCAAACATCTTCCAATTCTGATCTGATTTTAACTGCCGTTAGAATCTCAATACTAATACAAGTGGCTTGTGGTAAACTCCAAAGCTAAACACCAACAATATTAGAGTTATTGATAACATGTTCACCTAACTTGATGCAACTCCTACTCCTTTAAGTTCTATTCTTTTTTTGTTCTAGATATTTTGTCATAGGTAACTTTTGCCTCCTCAATTACCAATTTTAACTGCAGTGAAGACATATTGGTTGTTAAAAGAATCATAAGGGCAGACTTATTGAGCTTTAAAGAAAAGAAATTAGAAAAATTTTCCTTCTTTTGCTAAGCATAATATTCAAAATATGAGCTAATCTTTCAAACTTGAGGAAAAAAATGCATTCTAGATACTGTAGCTCATGTCGTTTGGTAAGTTGTGCATATGATTTTAAACACTCAATACAAAGGATATTTTGCGGGTCCATTATAACCACAAAAGAAAGTTAAGAGGAAATTGGATAATATAGGAGAACAATTAGGCAGATAAAGTGGATAAAGTCCATGAAATGTAACTATCATTTTAAAAAAAAATTAGCATTACTAATACTGTTAAAAAACTAATAGGAAAAGGAGCACTAAAAGTGTACGTGTCACGTTTTCATCCATAACAGTCTAAAATTCTTTATCCAGGCTAGCAGACAAAAAGCAGTATGTGTGCTGTCGGTGTATTTGCGTCAATATCGTCCATTTATTATGCAATGCATGTGTAAGCTTCGGTGCATCATTATCCAGCACAATTTCAACTTAGGCGAACCTGTGTACTAAAGTAGGAGAGCGTCTCAAAGGCATAAAAGGATGTCTAAATCTGGCAGACACATATGCATACACATACACAGTCATAGTAAGAAACACATTACTTCAGTGTACTAGTCCAAGTAAGACATATACCATTAATGTCATCTAGTAAAGACCAAATACGCTGCTACCTCAAGAATTCAGAAATCAGCACTAGACCTAAGTTATTGTTGCTATTCAAGAAAAGCAAGGTAGACATACAAGGAAATAATCCACTATCTCTGTTGTTCAGGTCTATAAACTCTCAATTGGAGCTGCATGTGGGCTTTCATGGCCATCAGATAGATTAATAGTTCAGGTTCTTGATGACTCCACGAATGAAGTCCTGCGGGTATTTCTTTTAACCCTCAATATAGTCTCAGAAAACAACACTTGTAACAAGATGGAATTTTGCCTTGCTGACACGAAAACATGTATATATGCAGGCATTGGTGGAGTTGGAGTGTCAAAGATGGATAGAGAAAGGGGTGAATGTGAAGTATGAAACAAGGAACAACAGGAATGGTTATAAAGCAGGTGCACTTCGGGATGGTCTAAAAAAGCCATATGTTGAAGATTGTGAGTTTGTCGTCATTTTTGATGCAGACTTCCAGCCTGAGGAGGACTTTCTGTGGAGAACAGTGCCTTATCTTCTTGAAAACCCAGAGCTGGCTTTGGTTCAAGCCCGATGGAAATTTGGTAAGGCTATTACAGTATTTTGTTCATGGAAAAACTGATAAAACCCAGTAAATCCTATGAACCACAAAGAACAATAGTATGGAGAATATTACCAGGGAAGGATACAATACACAACTGGAATTCAACAAAACTTATAGGAAATTTTGGTCCATAAATGTGTTCATGATGCCAAGGGACTAAATTACATTATACAGAAAACATAAAAACATTCAGTTGTATACATTTCAGCAAAAGATTGAATTTTGAATGACTTTTGTAACATTGGTTTAACACATCTTTATCAAAATTACAAATATCCACCTCTTTCTCTTCCCCCTGAGGATGTACAAAAGCATTATTTGTACAATTGACCTTAATCTAATGAATTCAACATTCAATTTCTACAGTAAATGCAAATGAATGTTTAATGACGCGGCTTCAGGAGATGTCACTAGACTATCACTTCAGTGTGGAGCAAGAAGTAGGCTCGTCAACATGTTCATTCTTTGGGTTTAATGGTAACTTCATAGACATTTCTGCTACATGTTAATTAGTTTGCTATAGCAACTTCCATGAAGACACTTTCAGCCAATATCATCAACACTTTTCGCTTGCATCAAAGGAACTGCCGGTGTATGGAGGATCCAAGCAGTAAGTGATGCTGGTGGATGGAAAGATAGGACCACGGTTGAGGATATGGACCTTGCAGTAAGGGCTAGCCTTAAGGGTTGGAAATTCATCTTTGTGGGAGATTTATCTGTGAGTCTTTGCATTAATGACTGATTATACTTGTTATAGGCATTTCTAAAAGTTACACCAGGCTAACGAACATTTGCTTTAGGTCAAAAATGAACTTCCAAGCACTTTCAAGGCTTATAGATTTCAGCAGCATCGATGGTCGTGTGGCCCAGCCAATCTCTTCAGAAAAATGTTCAAAGAAATTCTCCTTTGTGAGGTCAGGACTTTAATTTCCTCTTAATAAAGACCATAGCCTAGTACTCTGGCATCGGAATAATCAGTGCATAGAGGAAACTAAAAAAGAAGCTCTCTATCTAATGCAGCGTGTGTCCATCTGGAAGAAATTCCATGTCATCTATGCCTTCTTCTTTGTGAGGAAGATAGTTGCACACTGGGTTACTTTTTTCTTCTACTGCATTGTGATCCCAGCAACTATCTTAGTTCCTGAAGTGCATCTTCCAAAGCCAATAGCAGTTTATCTGCCAGCAACCATTACACTTCTTAATGCAGCTAGCACTCCAAGGTATGCAAACCGACAGATAATTCTTTGGTTTCATTTCTAACGGCTCTTAGAACTGAATGACCAAAGACTGGCTCTCACTAAACTAAATACACAGGTCCTTGCATCTACTCGTGTTCTGGATACTGTTTGAGAATGTCATGTCCCTCCATCGATCCAAAGCAGCAATTATAGGACTTTTAGAAGCCAGCCGAGTTAACGAGTGGATTGTGACGGAAAAGCTTGGAAACGCATTGAAGCAAAAGTACAGCATCCCCAAAGTATCTAAGAGACCAAGATCACGAATTGCAGAAAGGTAGTGTTTCCTAAGCTAATAAATTTTTCCATGTTCGAATCAGGACACGTAAAGTCCAGAATCACACTTTTGTTATTGTACATAGCAGCATCTTAGCAGAATACGTAACCAGTACCTAACCAAATACATTTTTACTAGCAGGATCCACTTTTTGGAGCTGATAATGGGAATGTATATGCTGCACTGTGCTTTCTACAACATGATCTTTGCAAACGATCATTTCTTCATATACCTGTTACTTCAAGCAGGGGCTTTCTTCACAATAGGGCTTGGTTACATTGGAACAATTGTCCCTACTTAAGAAGCTAGGCATACCGAAAATAAAGCCTCCAAAAGGACAAGCAGGCTGCTGGAAGCTACTGTCATTTGGTATATCCATCTAGTAGCATACTACTAAGTCATGGTATTATTTTTCAATGTTCTTTATACTGTGTGTCCTCAAGGGTCTCTGCACTTCGGGCCCCCCTTAATATAGACGAGTACAGCAAGTCAACTTGGTTCTTGAATAAAAATGTAATTCACTGGTACCATGTTTTAAATTTGATGTAGATGGCTTTCTTCTACTTTTGGATCCAACAACTGCTTTGATTATTACTCAATCAGAACCACATTCTTAAACATCCTCAGGCATATTTTTATTAACATAAGCACATCGGGTCCATCCAAGATTCCCGATATATTTTGCGCAAAATTAACAAGGGAATCAACACAGGCAGCAATAAAAGAAAAAAAAAAATAACAGAACCATCAGAAGGATCAAATGCCAAGTAAGTGCTGAAACAGAGGTGAAACTCTTACCTTTGGGATAGCGACGCTGTCGTCATCGCCGACCAACGCGTGGCTGAACAGTACCTCGACACCCTTGAGGCGTATGGGATTCCTATATCAGAACAGAAATACTGATCTCATAGCACCTATCGGCGCGGCGGAGTTTGCTGAACGCTTTCTTTGCCCAGTATTGCCGAAGAAGTCACGGAATTTCTCACAACCTCGACAGCTTTCATTATCATCTACCTCCAACTTCCAAATTTACGGATTCTCCGAAACAGGACCCGTTTATAGATTTATTATTTGTTCTGGTCGCAGGGGACTAAACAAGGAATGTGATGAATTTGTTTAGCAATGCTTCTTCTTTAATTGCCGTTTTCACTTTCTACAATCAGAGAGGAAGGACCCGGCAAGAGAAACTAAAAGTCGCCCGAGTGCAAGCAACGCCTTGTAGTAATATTTTCGGGTCAGGTAAAGAAACAGCGCCTTCTACCGTCAAAAGAAGGAATAGCGGATCCTGCTGTACGAGGTTCGACTTACCTACGGACAGCCCAATGTTGACAACTTCTGTGCACTGGCCCAGGTGATTAGTCCAAATCTTCAATTCTTCCTATTTATTACGAGTGGACGGAGTCCAACAACCATCCCTGAGTTTCAGGTAATCCGTGCACAATAACTAATGCTCCGGTTCGATTGCCCTAATTTTCACAAATAAATTTTTCAAATATAATATCACAGTAATATATATATATATAAATAAAAATAACTTAAAAAATATCACATCCATATAATATATCAAAAACAACTCATAAATATACACAAAAAATTTAAAAAATAAATTCTACAATATTTTTCATCCATCACCGTCACTACCACCACCCTCATCTGTTACCGCCATCACCCACCACCGTCACCACCCCCTTCCTCCTCCCTTTTTCCCCTTCTCTATACTTCCTCCACTCTCCTCCCCCGCCACCCTCTGGTCCTCACCTCCCTCTCTCGATTTAGTCGCGACTAGAGGCTATGATCTAGTCATGGCTAGATCGCGCGACCAGAAGGTTTGATACTTTTTGGTCGCGATTTAACCGCGACTAGATCAAGGGGGAGGAGGAAGAGGGGAATAGTTTGCGGTAGGGGTGGTTATGAATGGTAATATTAATTTTTAAAAAATATTTTAAAAAGTATTACAAGATATATTATAAAAATCTCTTTAAAAATATATGTAAGAAAATTTTTTTATATACGTGACTGCAGTAAAATATTTTAAAAAGATCTCAGAAAGCTACTAATTCAACGGAGCCGGAGTTTTAAAGTATCTTGTCACTATGATGAAGGTTCAGACCCAGTGTATTTCTACTTTTCTTTTTCACAATGATGCACCCGGTGCACTTACACAGGGAGAGGGGCTCATGACCGCAAAAAGGGGAAAGCAAATATCAAATCAAGGTGGGTGGATAGTTAGTATCGGGATACCAGTCGACAGTTGAGATAAGTAACATATGGATCAAACAAATGCTAAATAGTAGTGGTAGTCTTCTGTTGATTTAGGAGCGGAAATTTTGGCTGATTTCATTTTCATGCGCACGGATTGCTCGGAGTCACAACAGCAGAGGAGACACCTCAGGAACTCCGTTTTAGACACGTTAAATTAAATTGAATTAAATTTAGTAGGGTGGAAGTTAGCCCTACTTCTCACTCACTGAAGAAGGCCGGCCCGGCCATTGCACGAACAACATCCACATCATCCTGCACCGCACCTCTTTAGTTTACTGCTTTGATTTCCCAATTTTTAAGACGAAAACAATCAGTATAATGCAATGCGACGACAGTGTGTGTGTGTGTGTGTGTGTGTGTGGTAGTGAAATCGGAAAGAGCTGTTTCAAGCTCGGACAGGGGCCTCACCATCACCGCTGATCTCATCTCAAATTATTATTATTATTATTTATTTAATAAAGGAAGGTTCTTGACGGGATCGCCGTCGTCGTCGACGCTTCTACTCAATTAGAAAAATCTAAGACGCCAAAGGAAAAGTTCTTTCGTCTTGCTAATTAATTGCACTTAGAAAATTTAAGACGCCAGAGGAAAAGTTCCTAATTAATTGCACTTAGTGGGGGTGGGTCCTCCTCTCTAGTCTTTACTCTTTGCCTCTGGAGTGCACAGGCGGGCAGTAACTAATTACGCCCAATAATCAAACCATGTACCACCAATATGCTATAACTCCCGGACGGACCAAACTAGAGATCCCCATGGCATATCATGTCCCACACCTACTGCTTCTTTCTTCCGGTTATTACCAACTAAACTTACCACGTAATTAGGCCGCTGCCATAATTTTCTTTGCTTTTTTCCCAAGTCATGATCTCTCGCCATTGAGTGCATGTATGCTTAATCAGTTCTTGTCACTCACTAATGATAATGGACTTTTCATGATTCATATTCTGACCAAAGTGGATCCTCGCTCGCTTGGCCTCGTACCACCACCGGTTGTGTAATCAGTGAGCTAATATCCAAGTATCGCTCGCGTTTCGCGATCATCTCACAGTGTGAGAAACTAAAGACTTTTTTTCCTTCTTCTTCTTTTTTGAGGGGTACCATTATATTCACCGCCACAACTATGTACTATCAAACATGACATGCACATGTAACTTGGCCGGTGATGTGTCTGGTCTCCCGACCATGACCTGCCGAAAATTTCCATCTTATTAATTTTTTTTTTTTGGAATTTACTTTGGATAGTTAATAATGGTGATGCTGATGCGTACTAATTCATTTGCGGCAAAAGAAAAAAAAAAAAATTGACGGAGATTTTGACAGGCAGCTCACCAGGTGCAAATAATCAACTGAAAATGTAATTATGCCCAGCTATACGTGATTAGCGCTAATTTGTCCGGCGCCAGGCGGCTGCAATTGATTAAACTTAAAGACGAGAGACAAATTATGCACTTAACGCTTAGTTCAGTTTACATTACGAAAAGTGCTAAAATCTTGGAGGGGTAAACACCCGATCCGAAGGCAAGGGTGCTGATGATGGTTGACGGAAGGGGAATGCAGCTGCGTGCTCATCTGGGGCCAAGTTTGAATTCTAGAGTAGTCCGGCGGCATAATTTAATCCACAGGCTGCCGTTTCTGTTGATGTCATTTCACAAAGAAGTCTATTCTCTTTATAATTATGCAAACAGTCAAATATATAAGAAAATGTTTTGTTTCCGCTCGATTTTTTTTTATTTGTATTTTCACAATCTTTTTTATCATGTAATTTAATAAATAGAAATTGTTTGATTAACAAAAAATAAGGAGGGCGAATAACATTTTTTAATATTGAATGAAAGAAAGAAGTACAATCATGCAAACAGTCCGTTGAGTCTTGTTGACCTGTAATCAGAATTTTCCCAAGTGTTGTTCTTTTTCTTTTTTTTTTTTTATCGGAAACGATAAATCTAATCTATCATACACTAAGGGGAAAAGGGCAGGCCTAAAGAGGTCCAGGGATAAATCGGAAGGAACTGAATCACCATCGAATCATACGGGTGTACAGTACACTCGCCTGAATTTTTTTTGAAATAAGCCACAGAAAGAAATGTGGCATTTTTGGTTCCCCAAGTGTTGTTCGATAAGCCAGATATCCCCGTAAACAAATTATCCTGTAGTGTAGGGTGGATCAAGGATCTACCTACAGTTACGTAAAACAAGAATAAATTACTGCTCCGTTTGTTAGTGCATGTAATGTGCATTTTTCACCACTTAAAATCGAGAGGGGACTGCAGTCGTTCCTCCGATCCGTCCGCTGAATTGAACTTTTCACGGCGGCATCCGTCGCTTCAATTATTGTTGCTTCTTTGGGAGCATTCCAACTCTACAAACACTACTACTATCTCTCTGTTCCTTTTTTTTAAAAAAATTTTGGCGAAACCTATAAGTGCTTAAGACTTTTTTCTTTCTACTTTCTTTTTTTTTTTGGGGCGGTTGTCCGGGCTAACTTTCTGATTCAAGATTTGGTGAATTTCAGGGGGAGCACCAAACGGATTTACTCTATGAAGGCAGAGTACAACAAACAACTGTGGCAGTACACTTTTGACTTCGTGCACAGCGCAAGTACATGAATTCCTTATTGTATAAGAAAACTGTGTAGCACACTGCAGGTCTCTCTTTTCCCAATTCTTCCACGGCGGAAAAATCAACCATGGCTTAAAGTATCATAGACCAATTTGGTGGAATAGATCATCGTACGAATTAAGACTTTTTGAGGCTACCAGCAACTATTTTCACGCCATACAATACAATGGCTTCTTGTCAGTTGTCAGGGGATCATTACAAAAAAAAAAAAAAAATCAAACGCATATTCCACCTTATCTGCTTTCTTGCTTGTATCCCACTAAAGAAAAGTAGGACCATAATATTAGCACATCGTGTTGTTAGAAGTTAGAACATCTGCTAAACTTGTTAGGAAGAAAAATAACCTCTGCTAACCCAATTTACGGTGACAGGAAATAGACTAAGGCCATGCTTGGATTGCTTGTTTTCGTCGAAAAATATTATCGTTTTCCGTGATCACATTTTCCTATCATCTTTTTCCTTCACATATATCAAATCGTTACAGTAATTTTTCCATGAAAAATGACAAAAAATGCAATCCAAACACAACCTAACTCTTCCTTTGATTGATCCAAAAAAAAAAAAAAAAAAAAAAAGCCTTGCTCTCTCATGCAGTGGAATCAACCCTTCAATATTGCAAACAATTTCTACTACCTACCTCCTATAATATTTCTTTTGCAAACTTTTTTTCTGTTTGTGATGGAAAATATGTGTTAATTTTTTAACCGTGGACGTCCTCCATTATTGACATATAGTGGGAATTGCAGACGCTAGCTAATTTGGTGTTTAACTTACAAGACTGCGATGCAAGTGACCAGAACGGACGCATATTATACATGAATTGAAACCCAAAAAATCCAGCTTCCAATTATGTATGTGCCTTATTCCGCAACGTAAGACGCCACTCCTTAAATTAATGCAACCGCGTAGTAATGTAACATAAACCTCACAAGCCATCATTAATAATTGCACAAACGTTGAGCAATCAATCTCCACATCCGAGACTCTCATCGATCAATGATAAGGAGTGTCAAAAATTTGTTGTTATTACTTTATCTGTAATGTCTATATGATCTGTTGTATTAGTATTATTTACGCTACACTGTACAATTGAAACCATTGAATTTGTTGGATACGAAGATTTGCAAAAAAAAAAATTCAATATTTTTTCTACTTACATGATAAACACAATTTCTAATCATCTTTTTATCTCACATACATCATATCACAAAAAGTTGCATAGTAATTATTTCAAATAACCTCCCATCCAAACAAACTCATTAATTGATATTAGTGCCTAGATGACCTGTTGCGTTACTATTCACACTATGCTATACAATTGAAACCGATGATGATTACAGAAGCTCTTGAAACAAGAGGAGTAGGCAAAGGGCAATGCGGTAATTTGATGCGGTCAAGGGTGAGGCAATTGTCAAGTTCAGCTGGTTGGTTGGTCGCGAAAGCGAAAACAAACACCCTCGCATAGGCGGGCAGGGTTGCGGTAACCAGTGAGTCCAATCCGGCGGCATCATCATCATCATCTTCTTACCATCCATCACTCCACATACATATATACTAATATACATACACACATATATATATATATATACATATAACTATATGTACATACATCATGATTGTACAAGGGCGGGCATCTGCTCCAG